TACGTACATAGGCTTCCCCTTTCTCCAACAATGACTAAAACAGAACAAATATTAACATTCTGAAAAAGATTTCCAAATTAGATCTACCAAAAATCTAAACAGAATATCGCCCACACCTCGAGAACTAAAGGAAAACGTGACACATAAACGAGACCCGAGACTTCCAGCAGCGAAAAACAAAACAAAACAAACCACTGTAACATGTACGTGTGTTGTCAAAAGCTGAATCATCCATGCTAGCTTGCATTACGCGGGTGAGCCAAGATTTTATTGTTTTCAAAGTGCCACGCACGATGCGTTATCTTTCGTTCACAACAAAGAAAGTCAAAGGAAAAAAAAACCAAAGGAAAAGAGTACAGGCAGTCTTCTTGTTTTAGTTGGAATAAAGAGAACAGAAGCACACCAATACAAATGACTATAGCGGTTATTTTGGAAAATAAAAAAAAATAAAAAAAAGAAGAGGAGATTTCGTTTGAGCAAAGAGTAGCACATCTGCACAATAATGGCCAGCTTGTGCTGAAAAAAAAAAGTAAGAAAGACAGACAAAAATAACACAGGAGTAAAAAAGCAGGACCGACCATTGGAATCATCCAACCACCCGCACGCACTATGTGTTTAATCTTTCGTTCACAACAAAGACAGCCAACGAGGAAAAGAGCACGAGAAGGGACTTTTTTATGTTGGTTTTCTTTTGTGTGTGTGTGGGGGGGGGTAAACAAACCTGAAGAACACCCAAACAAGGAAAAAATAAAAAAGGCAGAAATAACAGAGAGGGAAAGAGAAAGAAGAAAGAGCTACCCAGTCACCCAAGTCACCCCTTTCAACAAAAAATATCCCACGAACAAGTGAAAACGTTATTGTACTTCGCGTAGAATCATTTCAAGGGCTTCCAACTTGGATAAACTAGGGAAAAGAAACTCGAAAAAAGAAAACCTTAGTTAAACCCTAAACCTCAAACAATTCAAAACTCTGAAAAATGAACTGTACAGAGAAATCGACAGCCGAAGGGGAAACGCTGTAAAAAACAGCCGTCGTAAAAAAAAATAATATCACTTCACAAGTAGTCAAAAACCACACGACCACACTCGCACAATACCCGACACGACCATTCAATTCACAAACACGTTCACCTCCTACCACCAGAAAGAACAAAATTGCCAACAACTTGAAATAAAAAAAAAAATTAAAAAAAATAATATACTAGATCTATACAATAAACAGACTTGGCGAGAGCAAACGACATCATAATGGAAAAGCTTTGAAATGAAACACGAACACACACGTTTGAACAAAAGTCTTTTAACTCGGCTCACTTTTATCATTGTAAAGAACAAAAACAAAAACAAAACTTCCTAACCAACAGTCCCTCGCGCGTGTATAAGACAGAAGAGATCTACAAAACAATAAAATGTCATTAGCCTAACACGAGGGACGCTAAACCAAGTAGAGAAGAAACGCTTGAAGCACACACGAACACATCAACATCCTCGCGAACATCATCCTCATCAATGGAGACGGCCAACTGTGAACTGTGAGCAAGTCTTTCAACCTTTCTTTCAACCCGCGGATTAGAAACCTATACGCCGCCTAGCTAGCTGCGCTCTATAGGAGTAGCAGTCAGTCTGCCAAAGTCACACCCCGCACTACACACACACAAGCATACACGCAAATGCACGCACGCACGCACGCACGCACACACACACACACACACACACACACACACGCACA